CTTGTCTACTTTCGTTTTCCTGGGATGAAGAAGAAAGGCACTGATTTCCTCGATCGCATATGTGGGACTGTATAAGCTCTTTCCGAGACTGAAGAAACTGTTGTCTTTCTAGCAGGTTTTCAATTTGCGTCTCGATTTCTTTAAGCTCTGTGTCAATTTCATCTAGTTCCTTCGATAGTTCCATGGTAGATTAACAAACAAAAAGGAATTTACGATCTAAAGTCTCAAAGAGGTTGTGCGGCATCTTTTCCGCCATATTGACTTTCTTTTAAACCCGCTGGTCATGAAACGCGGGCGTAGCCTCATCCCCAGGCTTATTCGCGAGCTATACGAGTGAAGGGAGAAGATATTAAACGAACAAGTATGCTATGAATGATGTTGAATGAGTGAATGAATATACAAATAAGCCTGCTTCTTTCCAGCAGTTATTCCTTATTATTTAATTGGTATGAATCAGTGAATCTTTCGTCATGAGCTCTGAAACTTTTCAATTCTGTTCTGAAATTTTTTATGAAAAATCGCCTGTGATAAAATAGAATGTAAGTGTCTCTTTTATCAGTGATAGGAAAAAAATGTTCGGCAGATATTCATTGCAGAAACACTGCATACCATAATCCACCATAAGTAAGAGCCGGATAAATGGATATGCCGGCGGAAATAAACGTAAGCGCATCGATGATGTATTCAGATGTTCCCTGCTAGCAGAGGTCTCTCACGGCGAGGCAAAAATGCCTCGCCGTGAGAGACCTCTGCTAGCAGGGAAATTCAGATGGTATAAGTACTATGTTATAATTGTTATTTCTGAAAGCAGGCAAAAAAAAAAATGAATTGAAGGCAATGGTGATAAAATTGCAGTTTATGTAGGACGCTCCCTGAACGTGCCTTATCTTTTGCTTTTTGTTCCAAAAATTTTGACTGAATAAATCAGTTAATAGGGTGTTTCCTTTGGTCAGTTCAAATGATAAGAATGCTTTTGATCGTTTTACATCGTTTAAAGTCCAAGAAAGCTAACAAAAACCAACAAGGAAGTGAGAAAGTCTTCACAACCTTTGCACTTTAACAACCGTTGGTGTAATGAACATTCAGATGGTCAAACTTTCGTTACGGACCACCCAAAGTGCCGTGAAAAAGTGGTCTCAATATAATACTGTAGGAAGTGGTCGCTTACGACTGAATGGAACCATATGGGGTTTCTTCCGGTCGGGAATAGGTGTCACACACCTACTCATTCGCGGAAAATCTATTGCGTACGATTCCTGATGTACAATTCAAGCAGTGCCATGTCGTCACTAGTATGCAGGCTATGTCGTCACTAAAGGAAGTTACTCGCACACTCTGAGTTGGTGCCGGGTTAGCCTGCATAACAGGCGCTTTATGAGCCAAGCGAGGCGAACGCGGCATTTTGCGCGAAGCGCGAAACGAGTGCGAAGCGCGGGACGAGGGGAGGAGGAAAATAACATTTTATTTTTCTCATCCCCGCGTCTCGCACTTTGCGCACGTTTCGCGCTTCGCTCAAAATGCCGCTTTCGCCTCGCTTAGCTAATAAAGCGCCTGTTATGCACGCTAGTGCCGGGTCGTTTACACCATGTCAAAAAAGAAAACAAAATCGCCACCCCGAGAGATGATCGCGTTCGCTTACGAGAAGAGGTTTGAACAACAGTTAACTCTCTCTAAGACGGACACAATTCGGGACCGGCCCCCATCTGTTCGTCTTATATTACAGAGGTGTCCGGCTTATAGAGAGTATTTTAGAAAGGTAATGTGACACCAGTAAAAACTTAAGCTGAACCCATTCGCAACGAATACACTAGCCTGCGAGCAAGCTCTCCTATTTGGGTAAGTGAAACGAGTCTCGTGAGAACGCGCGAGCGAGCGGCGAAGCTTCGCTTGCCCAAATAGGAGAGCTTGCTCGCAGGCTACGAATACACGTCTATTTATCTTACGCAAAACAGCTAAAACGGGAACAACGTAAAATAAAAGTGGAATCATTTTCTTATTGTATACAAACAAATGTTCATTACAAGCAAATGTTCACGGCTTTGTGGTCTACAAGCGCAACAGTAAACACACTATAAACTGGAGAGAGACTACAAAATCTTAAGAATTTTGCAATTTACCTTCATGTAGACCACCTACATTTCCGTTTTGAGGAAGTGCCTAACGCCCCTCTCAAGTGTCCATCAGTTTAGGGTTTCAAAAGTGTCCGTTGTCCGTCTTAGAGAGGTTTTCGTCTTATACTGGTGTCCGTTAAGAGACAGTTGACTGTATAAGGCTTTGAATGGGAAAATTTTGGACACTGAGGGGGTTATAGAAAGTGCCCTTTTTAACGGGGTGTTAACGGGGTTGAATTTAGAGAAAATAAAAAGGCTTCTTTCCCTAGGGAAAAAGCAAACTGTCTGTAATAATTAATGAGGTATCCGTGTTAAGGGCGTGTCCGTCAAGCGGGATTTGACTGTACAAGGAATATTTTTTGCCATGGTCAGTATCAGATAAAAGCTGCGGAACTCTCTCTAATTTAGCCCCACGAGCATATGATAGGAGGGTTGGGTTTAAACTTGGAATTTGACAGAGGTCCGACGCAAAAACCGAAAAAATAATATAGGAAGTAACGTGCTGAGAAGCGCTATGCTTCCGACCTTCCGTCAGCTACACATTCTAAGGAAGTAAACAAATAAACAAAGAAACAAACGCGAGTACATCTAATTAGCGCCAGGGCGTTCCTAGTAGCCTGTACACAGACGTTGTTTTATTTCTCCTTTCGTTCTTTTCATATCACCTGCGCTCGACGGACTTTGAAGAGAAAATAGAAGGTCGGTGCCGGTACAGGCACGTTCCCAGCGAGCAGACGCCTTTTTCGTACTTATTTTGTTTCACACGCCAAGAAAAGATCGTGTAGGAGTGGAGAGAAGCGACAACCGGAAATACGGCTGCGTTCACAGGCTACGGCGTTCCCGCCCTGCCCTGCGTGGCCCACGGGTGCTGACGGTTTAGTTAGGGCTCGGCTTAAAGAAATCTCAGTTGTCATCAATAGTCAGGTTCATACTCGACTTCCTACGGGGGAGAAATCATTCTACCGAAATGTTTAAATCAAAACGAATATATACACTATCGAAAGGTCTTTACGGCAAGGTTTTGACAGCTCGAGAGAAGTGATAAAATTTATTTTGGGTGCAGCAAGCTCTTGAGAGAAAAAATCGGCTGACAAGCAGTGCGCCGCCAAGTCACCTCAGTTTTTTACATTTCGCACGCTGCTGAACCTAATAAAGTGTGCCAAGTCGTCCACATTTCTTCTCAGACCGGAAAACTTACAAGTTTGAAGCAATGATCAGTTTGACGTCACTAAATTTTTTTCTAAACTCCTCAAGACTTTTCTTTATAATGAGATCTACAAGATTTAGTCTGAAGTAAAATTTATCAAGGAAGAAAACCGTGAAGTCTTTCTTAGAAACGTAACATGCCTTAAATTAATCTGTAGTGCATTTTGCAGACATTGGTATATGTTGCTTCTCTTTGCCTTTAAACAAAGCAAGCTGTTATATCACTAATTATGTGGATAAACAAGCCGGATGATGTGCTGATTTTTTAACGGGAAGAAGAAGGATAAAGTAAATTATCAATAAGGTCATCTTCTGTTGACTTATATGTACTTCCCCAGCACGTTTTGTTTTCTTTGCCTTTAAACTCCCCTCATTTGTTTCTCTTGACCTAAGTCCTGTTTTAAAAACTCATCTAAGTTAGTTATGGCTTGGATCCCATCCTGTTTACTGACATCTCACTTGACTTGTGAAAAAAGACCGAAATTTTAGCCTTAGGCAAATTCTTTTAAATTTCTAAGGAAAGCAGTGTTTCTTTCTTTGATGTTTTAGTTTTTTTTTTTGCGGAAAGAAAGAAAGTAATAGGGGAAGCGAGGTGCTGGACGCTGCCGCCGACAGGCAAGCTAAATATGAAAAACAGAACAGAACGGTTCTGTGACTAACGAGGTTTTTTCAGATTCCCGGCTACGGGTATGTTCTGACGACAATTACTACCGATGAAACGACGATCTTAATTTAGATATTAGAGCGACGATCGCATTGCCATGCCAATCATGTTTGGCAACATTTATCCCGAGCCGTACGGCAGAGAAATCTCTCCCAAAAAGTGTGCTTCTCGTTCAGAGTTTTCCCGTAGGTTATCAAACCTGCTGCTTTTTTAGTAAAATTTTCTCGATTCCCTCGTCGTCGTCGTGGTTACTCTAGCTTGCTAGTGCAGTTAGCGTCCACGCCAAAAAAGTCTTTATTTGCGGAATTCAAGGATTGTTCGCCAAGAGTTCCATCTTAGACGAAAGAAAAGTCGGGAACATTTAAATAGAAGACTATAATTAAACAACGTCTATTTTGGTTACCGCAAGTAATTGGACTTATTGAAAGACCAGCCGAGAACACGTTTAACTTAAGCTATTTCTAATAGGCAATTGTACGTTATCATGAAACAAAAATCTTCGTAGTATGTCACTTTCTTTATTTAATGATAAAAATCTTTTGTTATGTCAATTGTATTGAGGTACAGACGGAATTCCTTTAACGCAAAATAGAGCAGGTAATTTTTTCGAACTTTGAAATGATATTTTCCTGTGATCGAATGTCCAATTCTAGGCGTGGTGTGGTGAAAGGTTCTAACGTTTTCGAGCAATTCTCAACCACGACGTATAGAATCTCAATGGATTGTTGGAGGACTCGTCAAGGGTTGGTTTCTTCATAAAAAGCTGCTTAAAGGTATAATGCACCACTGCAAAAGCGTATTCGATTCTTATAATATTCACTATGTTCTTTATATTTTATTCCTTTGCAGTTATCAGCAAATGAGATTGGATTGGTTGCTCACGTGACCTTTGGTATTTCTTTACGTAATCACCTCAAAGTGCTACGGAATAAAATAGACAAAGCAGATTTCCGTATTGCCATAACCCCTTCGACCCAAAAAGAGTTGAAACTGTCGAAATCGAGCGCTAGCTCAACAAAATGAAACAGATCCTGATATTTGCTGCCTTAGTCGCTGTTTTGATTCTGGTGAGTGAACTTACGACGGGTCTGAACACAGAAGCGTGGGCAGAGCAGATACAAGAAAACAAAGCTGATGGAAAGCTGCTGAGGTAAAATGCGATGTTTTTAGTCATTGCGCAAATACGTGTAAATCTATTATGGTAAGAAAAACTTCCACCAACGAGGCCTAAAACAATTCTTCAGCTGAACGCCCGGATAAAAATGTTAGTTTAAGTTTGCTGAAAGTCACAGTAAAAACGGAAATTCAATAATAACGTTGATTGACCATGCAGGCCCAACTCCATCTACCCTGAGGTAAATCCGGGTTAAGTTAAGCAACTCTTGTAAGCAAAACACATCTGGGAGATCACTTGAGCAATCAATGAGACGGTCGGTGTTGGCAAATTAATTTTTTTGATAAAAATATTCTGAATGATTTAACAGCTGAAGTCTCGGCTGATGGGAATTCAGATCAGATGGATAAGGCCGATTGACAGCGACATACCACAGGAAAGGATGCTAGCTTTTTCATCTTAAGCTGCAAAAACTTGAAGATGCAGTTTGAGTAAAGTTTTCAATGTTTGTGTTTTGCAGTTTATCGGATGTAATATTAAATCGACCTCTTCAACGTGTCAGGAAACGCTCTGTTGGAAGATTCAAACGATGGTGGTGGTGTGGGCAGATACACCCAGAGCTACCTGGCTGCCCTAGAAGCAACAAAAAACATTCCCGAAGCCGAAAAAGACAACAAAGTATGTCGAGATAAAACACTAAACAACAGTTTTAACTACGGTAAAACAGAAAAAAAACATGGCTGACTCAAGAGTCGTCTTAGCCTGTGCGCATGCGTCTCTTATTTTGCGTGGATCAAAGGAAACTAAAGACGCCAGATCAAATCATCTTTTGACTAATCCGTAAAAGCCGACTTATGTTTTCTGATGTATTTCATATTATTAATCCCAAAAAATAATAAGCAAAAGCGCAGGTGGAATGCGAAAAATCTTGAATTTGCTGGAGCCTTGACTTAAGCTTACTGCTTAGTTTGTACACTGCGCCTTTTAACGGAAGGTTCTTGGTCGTGAGTGCGGGCAGCAGTAAATAAACTGTATTCTTCAAAGGCGGGTACCAAACCTGAACTTGTTCTAAGCCAACAAAAGACTTGAGTCAAATGGTGTTTATGTTGAGAATTTGCACGGATTGAAAACAGATGCTTCCCCCACGAGACAGCTTCCTCATTGACATCAGAATCTCAACTTTGCGATACGTACGTGTTAGAGGGACGGGGGCGTGAGAGCTCAAACATCTTTAGGCTTAAAAGGGGAAGAGGGCATTCATCTTCCATGCATTTCACTTCCAATATGTATGGAGCAGAGAGCGTAACGGTCCTGAAGAACTAACGATCAGACGACAAGTTCTCCAGAGATTTAGTAATGATAATAATAATAATAATAATAATAATAATAATAATAATAATAATAATAATAATAATAATAATAATAATAATAATAATAATAATAATGAGCAAGCTTTTTTTGATGCAGGTGCATGGTGACCGCTGACCAAACATTCCAGTGTCATGTGTGAGCCGGCGCCAGCAAAAGTTTTGGGCAATTGTAGGAAATCAGGACTAGTTTGATTAATATATTCCAATGTTATGAACGACAAGATGTTGAAGGCCATTTGAGTTTCCACGTTTTTTTGGTCGGCGGAAGAATGTAACGGGGGTTATAGATGTAATAGACTGAGGGGAAGTTATTAGAAGCAATTTGTCGGCGGAACTTGGGCGGCGTATGAAAACCGCCTTCCACCACTAGTTTGTTTATTTAGGAACCACAAACAGTGAAGTCATATCCAATTAACAATAATAATTATTTTTTTACAGACAGCAGACTGCCTGGGTAAGGACTATCTGCACGCAACACATCACAAGACGAAAAGTAGCTGATGAAATGTGTATTAGCATCAGCTCGTGGAGAGAAAACTATTCATCAGATTTCATTAATTTACATCGACCTACAATAAAATTTTTATCTTACTTCGATATAAAAACTTCCCTATAAAGCAACATGAATCATGAATATTTATTTCATAGAGTTGTATTCTTGTAACTAGCTATTTAATCGAAATGAGATAAAATAAAAGTGTTATTTTAAATTTCCTGGAAGAAGTTTGATTTTAATCAAATATCCAATTATACCAGGCAGACCGCAATCCCAAGCGATAAAGAGATTTACAGGATATTGATGACATGCAGCTTTTCAGGACGTTTCGCAAACGAAAATGGTCGCTTGCCCTTTTAAAAAAAACTTGTTATATTTCCGCTCCTAATTCCAATCTCCGTTATCATTAAAAACTGACTATCTGTTTGGTCTGTTTGGGAAAGAATCGGAGATTTTTCGTGGGAGGCATTGAACATGCAAGGAAACCGAAATAGTAAACACAGCATGTCTTGTGTTTACTGTTAGCCGGAACCATCTGAACATTATGTTCTTAACTGATAATTCCGGATATGAGGTCAACTATTTTTAGTCGCATTCTACGTTTCTCACACCATTTCCTATTCAACAACAACAAAACTTTTTCTCGAAGGATTCAATGTTATCAAGCAAACCATACCAAATAGAGCGATGTACACAGTGACAATGAGAACACATGATTTCATGCGGTTAATCTCCTATGTAAATGAATACTCTTTTTTAATCTTGCTATCTGGCGACCAGGGCTAGTTTGGAATCAATCGGCGGTATTTTTGTAATCTTTGGATGAGTTTTCCAACCTGCAGTCATGCAGTGCAAACATGTGTGCAAACACTGAGTGCAGCCACCACCTCTAAGCTGAAGTGTAACGTCTGAAGATAGCACATCAAGTAAATGCTTCTAGAAACTGTTGTGCAACCGCCAAGGAAACTTTGAAGGCAAAGCGACTACGATGGACAATCCTAATCTTCTTTCTATATCTTAGTACTGTAGACTTGGATAAACGTTTTTACGGCTCTTTCCCTTTTTTTTTCATAAATCAACGTACAGTGTATGTAATTGTTTCATTTTTCTCGTTTTTTTTTCTCTACGTGCGTGTATTTTTGCCTTTTTTTTTTTTGGTTTTATAGGGGCACGTGACATATCACGTGATAGGACATTTTCAGGCTCCTGACATTTTAAATCACGAAAATCGACGAAACGGCGGAGAATTGCTACCTTTTTTGTTGGAGTTACTACATTCACTTGATGTGTAAAATTATATATGGTCTAATTGTGAGCAATGGATGCTAATTTTTTCCAGAAATATGTTTTTGTATCAGGCTCCTGTTCGTATAAATTATAGACGAGAAAATTTAGAGGTATTTGATCAAAGCCACAGTTCAGAATTTAGCATACCGGTGACAAAAAAAAAAAAAAAAAAAAAAAAAACCCGACGCAATGAGCAGATTTGAATGATTTACTTCCAAGTCAAGGTTTACTTAATATCAATTGTCCCTCATCTATTGCAAAAGATGCAAAGAAGTGGTTTGTTTGTTCCCGCTGGACGAAGTACAGTTTATTCAAAAGCTATGTGATGATAACATTTCGTTTAAATTCCACACTTGACGGACGTAACAGTCCGAAAAACCAAACCAATCAAACGACACATCAACTAATCAGTTCAAAGGGTTGGATTCAGGCCACTGATAATCTCAGGTTTCCCCTGGTCGTAATTACATTAAAATGTTGCTGTGGGGCTGTTCCCACGCTGTTTTTTAAGCAATAATAAACACAAACACAAAAGTGATTCGGAGTAAATTAAAATTGGCTTAATGGCTCAAAGCTTTTTTATTACATAAAGAATTAATTCTCTTTAATGCTATACTTATACCTAAAATACTAAGCCAATTAAAAGTGAGCGCAGAAAAAAGGCCTTGGTAATAATTAAGACAACTAAGCAAGAAACAATCAAGGAACAAGTCAGAGGAGGAGGTGGGAAAAAAGATAAGATGTTCAAACCACGGCCTGTGCAATTGTAAATGAACAATCCACTCATGCTCGCGTGGTACCAAGGTTACATACGAGATTACGAGAGACAAGGTGGTTCAATTTATTGAAATGTGCTTCCCTTTAGCTCTGCCGACCTGTCACGTGCGCATACCTGATTGCATAACGTTAAACAACACAAGAATAGACCGAAAGAAAGACAGAAAAATTCCATTCGCCGGCAGATATTTACTTTATAATAGACGAAATAGCATTGCATGGTCGTTCATTTTCAGAGGATTACTTCCCTTTGGGTTAAGGTTAATGAAGGCAGTCTCGAAATAATGTCTTCCTCCACCCGCGTACATCCTTTCACTGGAGGTGAAATCGCAATGTTTTAAGATATAAGAGTTAAAGAGCAACGCTCTTAACTTTATAAAGTGACATTCAATCTTCACTGAAAGGCTAATGTCATCATTTACATTAACAAATGATCTTCGCTATATAGTAATGCGGAAACACTTATACTGGTAATATTTTTTTTCTTGCTCTGATATGTCCACGCTACTCTGGCGGTTTCCAGCTGCAAAGACGACTCGTGTAATTGATCACGTGACGTAAGGTTTACCGCACCCCCTACGTCAGCACATTTATAAAAATATAAATACAGACGAAGGAGACTTGGAAATTCCACAACATTTTTGTGTCGAGGTTAAACAGAAGTCGCAGCAATACTCCAGTAAAATGAAGCAGAACGTAATAATCGCTGCATTCGTCACTGTTTTGATTATGATGTGTAGAACGACTACGGGGAACCAGGAAGGAGCAATGCTTGAGGAGATAGAAGAAAACACAGCTAATAGAAGACTGAGGTAAAAGGGGATCCATAGATTCCTTGTACAACAAGAGTAATTTTTCGACTTGATATAAAGAAATTTAAAAAAACAACGAATTTTTGTATTATATCACCTTAACAGGCCCGAACATTCGATAAACTTCGATATATAGCATTGAATTAAGCGACAGAAGTTTTCTGCAACATAAGGATCGTGAGACACGTATTTCTAGAGTAAAACTTGTTACAAGGATTAAAAAGCAACAACAACAATGACGATAAATTCGTCAAGGCATAAACATTAGGATCAATGAATGGAGGTCTTTGTT